AGTTTTGTAGTTTTAATTGCTATGACAATCTGATATAGTTTTCCCATTCGGGGAATAATATACAGTGGAGTTATCCCCTTAGTGGGATTTTCTGATGATATGAATAATCTTTTGATGTGATGAATACCTTGGGATCAGTAATACTTTTACATTATGAATCTGTTCCAGATTATCAGTTTCAAATGAAGGTGCTGAAAGTAATTCAGGTCAAAGTACATGCTCTCAACACGCAGAGAATGGTTCAGACTCTCCTCAATTCAAATTTTGGAAATGGTGATGATGAACTATCAGAGAACACACCTGAACTCCCTGCAAAGAGTGAAGAAGAACTCTGTTTAAACAAAGTTTTAGAGGAATCTTCATTTATTCGAAGACAATTGGTATGTATGCCTGCCCTATTACAACTTGATATCATTAACCAGCTTAAGCAACAGTTTTCTGTCAAAAATGTTTTTTTTTTCTGTATAAATCGGTTCGTCTAATACGGCTGAAATGACTCAGATTCCTTTGAGACTGTTTCAAAATATTCTCAACTGCCAAAATATGTCTCAGCTACGTATCAAATGAAAGACAGGTCGAGAGAGTCCTAAGTAAGCTTATATATGTATTTGTGTGCAGAGATGGGCAGTATTGCAATATGTATCGATTGATAATTTTGTATTAGTATCTGTTTCACCTTAGCTATTCAACGACATTATCGTATTATTGGTATTGCAAGAGTAATTTTAAGATGTATAGAAAAAAATCAATAAATCGATGCTTCAATACACTCTCTCTCCCTCTCTCCCTTCCTCCCTCTCTCTCCCTCCCTCACTCTCTCTCCTTCCCCCTCTCTTTCCATCCCCCTCTCTATCTCACTCCCCCTCTCTCTCTCCCTCCCAAAAAAGAAAGGGCAGTGTAGCTGCTGCTACCGCAGTTCGTAACACCACCCAGGATAGCGATGAAGACGTCACATAAATTCTGAGGCATGTTATATCTCACATGGATGTGAAACTGTGTTCATTTGCACATTGCAAATAAAAATAATCACTGTAGAGCTAGTTGCTTATTCTTACCCTATATATCGTGAAAAATGTGATATTGAGTGATTAAAACCTTCTTACACCGATTGACAGAATTCAACATTATTCATCTGAATCATCTGTTTGAAAATAATTTGCCTAGCATCAACAGTTCATTGCTAGTCTTGAATGTTCAAATATTTGTTTCAAAAGTTTTATCTTATTCTGGTCATTCATTTCAACCTTTATTGGTTAGTATATAAAGGTCTTAATGAATATTAGGTTATGATTTTATTAATTGGTGCCTTACAGCTAACATTAAAATCATGGTTTTCATTAAATGGGCAGAATATGGAATGACAAGTATAACACGAACCATTAATTATTACCTCGGTTCAAACACCGGTCAAACTGCACCCAGACAGGATTGACCTACTGCTTTTTAAAATAAATTGATTTGTGATTATTTGTCCTTGTCTCAGGAAGAGTAAATTACAGTATAACTTGTGTGTATATATTTCCAAAATTGGTCTTGATTTTGACAAAAAAAAAAAAAAAATACAGGTTTTACCAGAACACTCCAGTAGTGTATTCAGATCTCTTTAACAAATTTTGTGCACTGCCACGTCGACTAACAGCATTTCAATGTGATTGAATTCACAATAAATATTACATTAAATTTCACAAACACAAGCTGTCCGTTAAAATTAATTTGATCTGCAAACACAAAATCCTATGTTGATAGGTAGATAGGTTGCGTACTGTTGTGGGCCAGGGCAGACGTTTGGATTGACATGCAATGTTTGGCATTACTCATGATGTTTTTACCAGTAAATGGATATGGAATTTCCGTGTACTGCTGGTTTTAGTAATGCGAATTCAGTCCTCTGCATGAGTACAATTCTGTAGTTGCCTGTAATCACTTTTAAAACTGTAATTAATCCTTAGATGGTGTTTGAAGTGGTGTTGGCATTATGCTGGTTTTACGTTGCCATTCTGTTGGTTTTATGTTGGCAGTACATTGGCTCTACGTTTTTCTTATGGATTTTGGTAACTATAATTGGTTAAATGGACGTTGGGACAACGTCCATTTAACGTAAAGCCATACATTCTGCCAACGTTGGGCCTGCTTTTAATGTTACCAGGGGCACGGTTGTCAAGCTGTGCGCTAAGTGCTAATGGAAAAGAGTAGAGGGTGGGGTAGAAGAACAGTGAATCTCTACTACACATAGTATTAAAGTAACGGGAAGCCAACATCTTAACATTTGTTCTGTCATTGTTCACTTTGACACTATAGTGCAACATACATCCGTTTATAACCATGACTTACTCAGGGTAGAACTACAGCTGCTGCCTCCAGTGTTATTTGAGATCCAGCTAGCGAAAGCAGATACACGGGTGTACACACCAGGTTTGTCAGGGACGGCACACTGGAAACCATAGCTGACAATTCCGATTTGAGCCCAGGTGCCGTCACAAAGTTTCGCAACAAGAGGACC